CCCTTTCTCTTCCGTTCTGTATTGGAGGGGATTTCAACATGGTTCCAGGCACTTTAGCCAGTTCGAAGTTCGCCGAGAAGTTGGTTGGGCTGCCTGTGGTGGCCGAGGGCCACACTCACTTTGGTGAGGGCCCCCCGTCCTCCCTGGACCACTTTGTGTTTTCGGGGGGGCTTGGGAAAACTGTTAAGAGCTGCGAGGTCGTCCTGGACACTACCTTGAGCCCCCACAGACCGGTGCAAGTAGTGTTGCACGCTTCGTTTGGCAAGTTGAAAGGTCTTAGTTTCAGGAAGCCTCCTCCTCTCCCTGTCTCGGCGGTGGTGGGACCGCGTCCTGCCCCCCCCGACTGGAGTCTTGTGCGAGAGCTTGCTGACCAGGCCTCCCAATGTGTTGCTTTTGGTGATGCAAGGGGCGCATCGTCGCTTCTCTCGCCTTGCTACGCGGCCTGGGCTGACAAAGCCGAGGCTGAGCTTGTGCCAATTTTAGGACAGTCTGTCCCCTGTCTTGGTTCGAGATCCAAGGGCCCTCAGCTTGTGTGGAAGAAGCTGGTTGGCCGTGACCATGCTATTCGGGATCCTGAACATCATGCTGTGCGGTGGCTCAGCGTCCAATATCGGGCCCTAGCGTCGCTCCTGGATTCGAACCAAGGTGACACTCCTCAGGCGAAGTCGCTGACGACGCTGCTACAGGAGCCTCCGCAGCAGGTTGAAGTTTCTGCTGCCCTTCGGCCTCTCTTTGAAGAGGTTGCCCGTGCTGTCGCCGAGCCTTGTCGGGATCTCATTGTGGGCAGTTGTTTCGAAGCGGCTCTTCGGGACAAAATTGATGTTGCGGTCATCAATGCCCAGTCTGCTGCCAAGAAGAGATCCCGTCAAAGCTGGCAAGCTTGGATTCGCGCTGGCCTTGACGAGGGAGCGAAAAGAGTTCACATGTTCACCAGGGACCCGTCACCTTGGAAGGCCACCACCACCCTTTCTGCTGATGGCACCCTTGTGTCTGATCCTTTGGCGCTCTTAGCTTCGGAAGGTTTCAAGTTTGCCGCCTTCTGGGGCAAAGGCGCTGGAGCCTCTAGAGGCCCCCCGTCGCTTGGGTCGTCTCTTCCGAGGGTTTCGGCCGACGAAATCAGGGAAGTCTCCAAGAAGTACAAGAGGGGTTCTGCGGTGGCCTACGATGGCTTCAGTTGTCGTCACTTCCAGTACTTGTGTGATGATGCGCTGAACTCGCTCGCCGTCTTGTTTGAAGTTATGGAAGCGCTCGGCGAATTGCCCGAGCAGATTTCTGCCGTGCTGCTTGCCCTTCTCTCGAAGCCCACCGGTGGCTACAGGCCTATAGGGGTGTTCTGCTCCTGGTACAGGGTGTGGGGGAAGCTGCGGCGCCCCTTCGCCCTCGCCTGGGAGCAAGAGCACCCCCGCAGGTACTGGGCTGCTGGTGGGCATCGAGGTGCTGCCGACGTTGTGTGGAGGCAGTCTGTTCGGGCTGAGCACGGCACTGCGTCGAATGAGGTTTCGTGTAGTGTGTTTTACGATATGCTTAAGTACTACGAGACCATCGATCTTGCCAAGTTGATGTCCCAATGTCAGCGACACGGTTTCCCCTCCCCGATTGCGCGCCTTTGCATCTTTGCTTTTCGGTGTGGCCGTTTCCTGTCCCTGGGTGGCATCCTTGCGGGCCCCTTTTTTGTCGAGCGAGGTGTGGTGGCGGGCTGCAGCTTCGCCACCACCCTCATCAGGGTCTTTGCCCTTGACGCGTTCGACTCCATTCCCCTGTCCCCCAGATGTGATTTGGACATTTACATTGACGATTCGGGGATTTCTGCGACGGGCCCTCGTCACCGAGTTATTGCCTCTATTGTTGCCAGCTCGCAGGCCTTGCACACGGCAGTGACCGACATGCTTGGCTGCAGTTTCGCCCTGTCCAAAGTGTGCACGGTCTCCTCCAATAGGGCGGTGGCCAGTGAGGTTGGCAAGCAGCTTGGCAGTCTGGCAGGTAGGATCGAGGATGTCACAGTCAACTTAGGTGTGGACTACACGGCGGGCAAATCCATTCGAGCCTCAGGTCGGGCTAGTAAGCTCAAGTCGAGGCTGGCTACCTTGTGCCGTCGAGCCAAGAGGCTCAAGAGGCTTTCGGGTGATCTTGGGAGAAAAACTCTGCGGGTTTTTTCCTCGGGCCCTCTTGCGGGAGGCTCCTACGGGGCTGACATTGTGGGTGTCTCTGACAATGATCTTTTATTGATGCGGAGGCAAGCCTTCTCGACGGTGCGGCCGTTTTCTCAGGGCAGGAGTCTCACTGCTTGCTGCATTTTAGCTGGCGATCCCACCTGGAGGGCGGCCTGCGCTCCTGTGCTTAGGTGGGGAAAAGAAATATGGCTTGCTCAGACTAAGGTCTTCCCGCACTCCCTGGCCCTCAAGGAGCTTAGAGATTCTTGGAATGCTGTCTGGGGCCTTAGCAGGATCAGTTGGGGTCTCGTCGGGGGTCCTGTCTCTGCCCTCAGGCTTTGTCTGGTCAGGTTAGGGTGGCACATGGACAATTTCATGACCATTATTGATGACAGAGGGTACCGCATACCCCTCGGCGTGACCTCCCCTGCCCTCTTGTGTATTTTTTGTCGGGAAGGTATGATCAGAGCTCTGGAGAGGGATCTGGGCGGCAAATGGGCGTCTGGAGGCCGCCTCTGCTTGGATGTCCCCCGTGCTGCTCTGGCGTCTAGCAAGTTTTCTCCCAGCGAAAAAGGTATGATTCGTGCTCTGGCGTGTAGCGCCATCTGGACTCCTGATCGTGCCATTGCCTGTGGATACAAAGTTTGTTCTAAGTGCATCCATTGTGGTGAGGCAGACTCGTTGCACCATCGGCTGTGGGCCTGCCCGCATGTGAGCGATCTGAGAGCGGAGCTTGCTAAGGACTGGATCATTGCTGCCGCCCGTGACACTGAGGCTGAGGACTACTCGGACCTCCTTTTCTGCTTCGGGGCTTTCGCCCATCCCGCCGATACCCTTCCGAGGCCGTGCCTCGAAGGCAATGTGGTGTTCCGCTGGCATCGTGATCTGCTCGAGGGCCCCGAAGGCTTCGAGGCTCCCCAGGAAGGTGCTGTCTGGGGGTCGCTGTTTCTCGACGGGTCTTGCAGGCGGCACATAATTCGGGAACTCAGCCGTGCGTCGTGGGCTATCACGATGCACAATGACAGCGGGGATCTTTTAGGGGAGGTTATGGGGCCTGTGTGGGCCCAATACCCTCAGACCCCGCAGGCTGGCGAATACTTAGCGCGTGGCATGGCTGGCAATATGGCCAAGTACCCTTCCACCCTGTTCTCTGACTGTTTGAATGTGGTCAAGCATTCTAAGTTGCCTCCTGGCGAGCGCCTCTCGGGTAAGAGGGTGTACAGTGGCATAATCATGGAAGCCAATGCTCGAGAAGGCACGTGCATTCAGGATATTGTTAAGGTTTCCGCTCACAAGGATTTAGATGAAGCTGGCATCGACCAGTTCGAAAGGTTTTGTCGCAAATGCAATAATGATGCGGACGCGGCGGCCAAAGCCGCGCTGTCGTTTCATGCGTCAGATATTAATGAGAGTGAAGATCTCAGCAAGAAGATCGACATTGCTAAAGCAGTGTGTCGACTAGGGGCCAAGCTTCTCTTAGAGTGGCCCCGACTGGATTTATCTGATGCCGATTATATTCCGCTAGCCCCCAAGCCCAGGTTTTCCTGGGACAAGCCTGGGCACGACTGGGCCCCTTGGTCCGGTGTGTGGCGCTGTAGAGTTTGTTTGTTGGGTTCCAGGGGATCTGGCGTCCCTGATCCTGGCATATGCTCTGGCAGGTGCAAGCTTGATGAAGGTGTGCTGGTGTCACTGCGGCATCGTGTTTTGGCCTTCTCCTGCAGTGACGGTTCACATCTTTTTGTTTGCGTGAAATGCCGCTACCACAGCACAGGTGCTCGTGTGGACGGCCTAGGGAAGGTGTGTAAGGATCGGCCCTCCAGGAACGCTGAGTATTCTTGGAGGCACCTCTGCCGAGGAGTGCACCCGAACCCCAGGAAGCGAGCTGTGACGGTGAATACTCACCAGATCTGTGCCCTGTTTGGTTCCCAGGCCGAGGAGGCTCCCTCGCGCCGCAGGGCCGAGGAGGCCCCAGCTGGGAACCACATGGCGGAGGAGGAGGTGGCCCCCCCTTCCTCGGTCGAGCCTCCCCCCCCCTCGGAGGAGGAGGTCCGTCAGGCCTGTCAGGCCCGAGAGCGCAGCGTCTCCTCTCAGTCCCTCCGCCGTCTCCAAGCCGCTCGGTGTGGCGGTGAGGAAAGGAGGGACTTGGATGCTGACTCGGGTTCTTCTGGCTAATTTTTTCCTGCCACCCTTGTGGCTCACCTCCTTGCCTCAGTGGCACGGAGGACGCAGCAGCGATTTCCCAGCCGTCGCTGCTGACAGGAGAGGCTGTGCGGGCGTTGAGCTCAAAAAAAAAAAGCGACTGTTTGCAAGAGTGCGTCCTACGGGGGAGTCTCCACCTGCTTGAAACAGGCGTCCAAAACAGCCAAGATCTACTCCATGGGAGGGGGGGGGGAGGAGGGGTGCGAGGGCCAGCGCCGCTCGGCAAAACAAACGATCACAAACTCAACACCGTCCCCGAGCATGTTTCCACCACCGCGCTTGCGTATCTGTTGTTGCTAGTTTCGCCTCTCGCGGTGCAATCGTCAGGCCCCGCCCCGACCACCGACGCGTCGATCCCAACCTGCGTTGGCTCTTTGACCACCTCTCTGGCCAGAAGGTCTGGGAGGTTGATATAGTCGGCCTCGCAGGCGGACTGGCGAGAAAATGATTAGTTCCCGCAGCCGCCCCCCCCGCTCACTCCAGCGTTTGACCCCTGGGCGCTCCTTCTCCGCTCCCCTCCTCCTCCTCCTCCTCTTCTTCTTCTTCCTCCTCCTCCTCCTTCTCTTCCTCTTCCTCCTTCTCCTCCTCCTCCTCCTCCTCCTCCTCCTCCTCCTCCTCCTCCCCTCCCTGCTCCCCGCTCTCCCCCAAGCGCCGCCCACCCGAGCGCTGTGACGGACTCGCGCGGCAGCGCCCGCGGACGCACACATGCCTTGCCGCCGCGCGGCGCTCGCAAGAGCAGGGAAGAGAGGGTGCGGCGTGCGCGCGCCCCTGCTGCTGCGCAATCTCGTCTGGATTCAGAGACTCCACGTCGTACCTCGCCCACACCCCCTCTCCCTAGCTTGCTCTCGCCCTCGGAGGAGAAGGGGAGGAGGAGGAGGAGAAGGAGGAGGAGGAGGAGCAGGAGCAGGAGGAGGAGGAGGAGGAGGATGACCAGTGTAAACCCACGACTCGTTGACGATGTTGCAATCAACCTGCCCTCCAAGCTCCTTTTCATAGGCCCCATCGAAGGATTCATTTTCACCAAAGGAAATGCTCCGTTGGGGGACAGCCACTTGAAAATCCTGACCTGTGCCACAGCACCACTCTGGGACTTCAACGCCACGGATTAACCTTACTGTTGCGTCTTGGCGATCGGTCCTGAGCCGTGCCAGAAAACCAATCCTGGGACTTCAAAGCCGCGAATCAACGCAGCTGTTGCGCCCTGGCAGTCCCACATTGTTCCAACACGCACCATTTCTGATACGTTAGCCCTGATAACCAATGAAACTCTCGCGAATACTGAAACAAAGCGCCTGTGCGCGGCGCTAAAACGACAACCACACATTGAAAACAACAACCCTCCATCCGTGAAGCCCTTGCACCATCTTAGAACACATGTGTACGGCGCTCAGGGGAGACGACTTATCCTCAATCCTGAAACCTCAACAAATTGTAATAACGAAGCGAATGTGCTCTGCGCTGAGGCGAACACCCCATTTTGAAAAGGAGCCGCCCTCCATGTGTGAAGCGCTTACATTTGTTCCCAATCCTCCTTTGTTGGGTTCTCGTTTTGAACAAAGCACTGCGGTCGCATACCCTCCTCCTTCACCCCCTCTCCTCCCCCTTCCTCCTGAGCCTGAGCTGCACCTGTCGCCATTTCATAGGCTCCTGGGAGGCACGGCGGAGTCGGGGAATAAACGGATCCAGCCTAGATCTCGCAGCTCCCTGGGGGGCTGCGAACTGCGCAACTGTCGCCACTTTCGTGGGCTCCTGGGAGGCACGGCGGAGTGTGGGAGTAAACGGATCCAGCCTAGACCTCGCAGCTCCCTGGGTGGCTGCGAACTGCGCAACACTTTCGTGGGCTCTTGGGAGGAACGGCGGAGTCGGGGAGTAAACGGATCCAGCCTAGACTTCGCAGCTCCCTGGGGGGCTGCGAACAACGCAACTATCGACACTTTCGTGGGCTCGTGGGAGGCACGTCGGGGTCGGGGAGTAAACGGATCCAGCCTAGACCTCGCAGCTCCCTGGGGGGCTGCGAACGGCGCAACTGTCGCCACTATCGTGAGCTCCTAGGAAGCACTTCGGAGCCGGGGAGTAAACGGATTCAGACTCGACCTCGCACATCCCTGGGTGGCTGCGAACTGCGTAACTGTTGACACTTTCGCGGGCTCGTGGGGAGCACGTCGGAGTCGGAAGTATGCGGATCCATACTAGACTTCGCAATTCCCTGGGGGGGCTGCGAACTGCACAGCGTCGCCGTCGCCCCATGCGTGGGCTCCTGGGAGTTCCAGCGGAATCAGGGGCCACGCGGATCCAGCCGAACCCTCGCATCTCCCTGGAAGGGTACGCCCTGCGCAAGTGTCGCCACTTTCGCGGGCTCTTGGGAAGCACGGCGGAAATGAGGGCAGCCCTGATCGTGCATATCAAGCGATGTGCTCTTTCTTATGGAGCATTCGTACACATATTCGTCTCGCGTGGAGAAGGGGTTGGGTACGTCCCGGGTACTTTGAAACGAATGTGCGTGGCGCTAAGGCGGGAGCCACATTTCGGAAACGACCCGCCCTTCATCTGTGAAACTGTTGCCAATTTCGGAGCTTCAGGGCCCTATACGGTGAAGAAATCTCAGGCGAAACGCCTGGCCCACCCTTCCGACCAGCCTCGGGGTGCGACAGGGAGGAATTAGTTATAAGGGGGGATGAGGAGGAGGAGGAAGAGGAGGAGGAGGAGGAGGAGGAGGAGGAGGAGGAAGAGGAGGAGGAGGACCAGGACCAGGAGGAGGAGGAGGAGGAGGTGAAGGACAAGTGTAAACCCAAGAATCATCAACGATGTTGGAATACACACTTCCTCTAAGCTTCTTCTTCGTAGGCCCCTACAATGGTTCATTTCCTCTGAGGGAACTGCCTCGTTGGAAGACAACTGTTCGAAGACCCTGAAACCAGCCCAAACATATTCTCGGGATTCTAACGCCATGGACCAACCTGACTGTTGCGTCTTGACGGTCCTGAATCGTGCCAGACCACCATTCCTGGGACTTGAACACCACGAAGCCACATAATTTTGGCATCCTGATAAACCAGACTCCTTTCAAAACACCATTTCGGGTACGTTGATCAGGGGAACCCGTGAAACTCTGGCACATTTTTAAGACGAGTGTGCGCGGCGCTAAGGAGAGATCCACACTTTGACAAGGAACCGCCCTCAATCCGTGAAGTTCCTGTGGCGCTACGGCGAGAAACGCATTTTGAAAAAGACTCGCCTTCAATCCGTTAACCTCTTGCACATTTATAATGCGAATGTGCGCGGCGCTAATGCGAGAGCCACATTTTGAAAACCACTCGCCTTCAATATGTGAAGCCCTTGCAAAATTTTGGAGCGAATGTGCGCGGCGCCAAGGCGAGAGCCACATGTTGGAAACGACCCGCCCTCCATCTGTGAAGCTGTTGCCAATTTCGGAGCTTCAAGGTCATATATGGCCAAGAAGTTTCATGCGAAACGCCTGGCCCGCCCTGACATCTGGCCTCGGGGTGCGAAAAGGGAAACTTATTTGTAAGGAAAATGAATGGTGGCGGGGGAGGAGGAGGAACTGGAGGAGAAGGATGAAGTGTAGTAGTAGAAGTAGTCGTAGTAGTAGTAGTAGTAGTAGTAGTAGTAGTAGTAGTAGTAGTAGTAGTCGTAGTAGTAGTCGTGGTAGTAGTAGTAGTAGTAGTAGTAGTAGTAGTAGTAGTAGTAGTAGTAGTAGTAGTAGTAGTAGTAGTAGTACTTCGTACTAGTAATAGTAGTAGTAGTAGTCGTAGTCGTAGTAGTAGTAGTAGCTAGTTAGTAGGAGTAGTAGTAGTAAAAGTAGTAGAGTAGTAGTAGTAGTAGGTAAAGAAGTAGTAGTAGTAGTAGTAGTAGTAGTAGTAGTATTAGCTAGTAGTGAAGAAGTAGTAGTAGTAGTAGTAGTAGTTGTACTCACTAGAGTAGCTAAGTAGTAATAGTAGTAGTAGTAGTGTAGCAGTAGAGTAGTAGGTATTAGTAGTAGTATAGTAGTCGTAGTCTCGTAGTAGTAGTAGTAGTAGTAGTAGTAGTAGTAGTAGTAGTAGTAGTCGGTAGTCGTAGGAGTGTAGTAGAGTAGTAGTAGTAGTAGACAAGTAGTAAGTATAGTAGTGTAGTACTAGCGCATTGTTAGTAAATGTAGTGGTAATACTAGAAAGTAAGAGTAATGATAGTGGTAGTCCGTAGTAGCAGTCGCGTCGTAGTAGTAGTAGTTAGGAGTAGTAGTAATAGTAGTAGTAGTAGTAGTAGTAGTAGTAGTAGTAGTAGTAGTAGTAGTCGAGTAGTAGTAGTAGTAGTAGTAGTAGTAGTAGTAGTAGTAGTAGGAGAGTAGTAGTAGTAGTAGTAGTAGTAGTAGTAGTAGTAGTAGTAATAGTAGTCGTAGTAGTAGTAGTAGTAGTAGTAGTAGTAGTAGTAGTAGTAGTAGTAGTAGTAGTAGTAGTAGTAGTAGTAGTTGTAGTAGGAGTCATCGTAACAGTAGTAGTAACAGTAGTAGTAGTAGTAGTAGTAGTAGTAGTAGTAGTCGTCGTCGTCGTCGTCGTCGTCGTCGTCGTCGTCGTCGTCGTCGTCGTCGTATTCGTCGTAGTGCTAGTAGTAGTAGTAGTAGTAGTAGTAGTAGTAGTAGTAGTAGTAGTAATCGTAGTAGTAGAAGTAGTAGTAGTAGTAGTAGTAGTAGTAGTAGTAGTAGTAGTAGTTGTAGTAGTAGTAGTTGTAGTAACAGTTGCAACAGTAGTAGTAGCATAATCTTTCCAAAGCGCCATTTCTGGAACGTTGATCAGGGGAACCCGTGAAACCCTGGCACATTTTTAAGACGAGTGTGCGCGGCGCTAAGGAGAGATCAACACTTTGACAAGGAACCGCCCTCAATCCGTGAAGTTCCTGTGGCGCTACGGAAACGCATTTTGAAAACGACCCGCCTTCAATCCGTTAACCTCTTGCACATTTATAATGCGAATGTGCGCGGCGCTAATGCGAGAGCCACATTTTGAAAACCACTCGCCTTCAATATGTGAAGCCCTTGCAAAATTTTGGATCGAATGTGCGCGGCGCCAAGGCGAGAGCCACATGTTGGAACGACCGCCCTCCATATGTTCGAACTGTTGCCAATTTCCCCGGGACCCCCGGGCTTCAGGGTTCAGTTGTGCAGCTTCTCTCGTCCTGCGAAACGACCCGCCCGCCCTAAAAAACTGCGCCCGAGGATGCGAACGGAAAACTTCGTGTGTAAAGAAACAGGAATGTTGGAGGAGGAGGAGGTGAACTGTAGAAGTAGGAAGAAGGTAGTAGTTAGTAGAAGAAGTCGGAGTAGTAGTAGTAGTAGAGGAGTAGTAGTATAGTAGTAGTAGTAGTAGTAGTTAGTAGTCTAGTAGTAGTAGTAGTCTAGTAGTAATAGCAGATTATAATAGAATAAAAAATAATTAAGTAGTCGTAGTAGTAGAACACAAGAATAGAGTAGAGTAGTAGTAGTAGTAGTAGAAGTAGTAGTAGTAGTAGTAGTAGTAGTAGTAGTAGTAGTAGTAGTAGTAGTATAGTAGGTAGTATAGTAGTAGTAGTCAGGAGTAGTAGTACGAGTACTAGTCTTAGCAGTAGTAGTAGTAGTAGTAGTAGTAGCAGTAGTAGTAGTAGTAGTAATAGTAGTAGTAGTAGTAGTAGTACTGGTAGTAGTGCTAGTAGTAGTAGTAGTAGTAGTAGTAGTAGTAGTAGTAGTAGTAGTAGTAGTGGTAGCAATAGTAATAATATTAGTCGCAGTGCTAGAAGTATTGGTAGTAATAGTAGTGGTAGTAATAATAGAGGTAGTGGTAGTGG